TGCATCTGATCACCGTCCAGGTTCTTTCTGAATTCCTGGAAGTCCCCAAATTGTCCTGATAGCTTAGCTGTCCCAACAACGTCCTTATGAAAACCTCACTACTCAAGACCATGGTTTCATATCTGCACCTATATAGCTCCTTCAGTAGTGGAAATTCTTGCCATGTGTAATTCTGACCATGGGGAAAGGTTGGAAGCCAGGTGCCCCAGGGGCTGGTGCTAAGGAGAACATATTAATGTATTTGCTAATGAGTTGAAAGAGTCAGAGAAAAGGGCTAAATAGTAGAAGTTGCTGAATGCACAGAACTATTTAAGTGATTAGGGAAAAATACCACTGACTTTCCTGTGTGTGTGTGTGTGTGTGTGTGTGTGTGTGTGTGTGTGTGTGTGTGTGTTTCCCTTGCAAGATGGCTTTACCAAGTGAAAAACATTAAGACAGTCAATGGTGCAGAGACCACACTTAGTCTCCTCATTCATGTCTGATGGATGACATGTAATACACTATAAAGAGTTGAGAATGTGGATTGAAGGATAACTGTGGCTAATTTGGAAGTGAGATCTCTCTAGAATGCCCACTGCTCTGAGATCAGGCTCAGGGAGAGTGTCTTCCTGACTGGGACTCTTCCAAAGAGAAGAGATCAAGAAATAATGTGAACTTCAGTTCCCAGATATTTCTATCATCCCGAGGTGTTCCAGAGCCTTGGGCATCCTTCCCTGAGGGTCTGGGTCCCTTGATCTAAATTCCCATCCTGAAAAGGACCAGCTCTAAGGGCTGGGGCACACTGAAGGTAGCCTCGGTTTCTTATTTCCTTTGTGTGTATATATAGGGCAGGGAGAAGGTATGCATTCTACACCTGCATGTAATGTCTCAGGACTTTTGAGGGGTCTCCTGTACCACTCAAGGCAGGGACCCTGGAGGCTAGCAGAGGGCAGGTCTGCCTGGAGAGTAGGCCTGTGCAGACATAGCAGCCACAAAATCAAGAAGTGTTGTAAGTAGAGATCCGAGGTGTTTGTAGCTCTGTTCTCTTTGCCAGCTGCAAGCAGATTTAGCCATGGCACCCAGCCCTCACTGAGGTATGCTCAATGTTGATGGGCAGAGTACTGCACTGTATGCAAATAACACTTAAAATCATGCATAGTAGGAACTAAGCTAATGCTTAGGTTTAATTAGAAATGCAATTGAATATAAAATGCAATATGACAAGATGCAACAAACTATATATGCACTGTATATCTGTCTGTTTTAACATGGTACATAGAAAGATGCTAGTAGAATATTGTTTGGTGAAGAGATGGCTTGGCACCCAATGGCATTTGCCACCAAGCTTGACAACCAGAACTCAGTTCTCTGAATTGACATGATAGGAGAAAGCCAACTCCAACTCCTGCCATTGTCTTCTGCATGCATCCGTGTTACGTCATGCACACATGCATGCATACATACATATGCTAAAACATATTTTTTTAAAAAAAAATATAAAAAAGGAAAATACTATTGGAAGGGGGAAAAGTCATCAAATGTTAGCACTGATTTTCCCCGAGGTGTTGACTCTGTGCTTCTTTTTTTTTTTTTTTTTTAATTTTCAAGATATCTGTACTGATACACATATTTAAAAAACAGCAATGACACCTCTTTTCCGAACACAGCCTAGTCTGTACTGGCTGTATCCTGTTTCCCTCTGTGTCTGGGAGCAGTACACACCACTACTGAGCCCCAAAACTGTTGCCCTCTCTCCACCATGCTGGATCTGTGCATCAGAGGGCTACAATGACATCCACAAGTACTGGCACTCTCAATTCTAGCTCCATCTAGGACCTTGCTCCTGAACTCTAGCTTGAAGTTTCCAACAGTGGCAAAGATGGATCTTCTAGGTGGCCCATGAACCTTCAGAGATGACTCTGAAAGGACAAAGCTGGGGAGAACGCTCACATGCTACCCCTCATGCTTCAGGGACTCGGGTGTCAAACTGTCAACCTGCTGTCCTGCAGCATCTGCTAACACCCAAGGAGGTAGCTTGCTTGCTTGGCTTTCATCCAGGACTCTGTAACGAGTTTCCAGCAGGGAAGGACCTTATAGGATCCTTTGGAGAGATAGCTTAGAGGGTGTGCAGGGAACTGTTAAGGGAAGCCTAGGCCCTGGACTCCCCCAACTTCCCCTGACAGTTATTTTTAACTCTGCAGGCCTGCAAGGGAGCATTTGCATTTTTCCTATTTTTTAAAAAATTCATTTCAATCTTACTTAGTAAAACAAAATAAACTTTAAAAGAACACATTCTCTAGGTTACAAAAATCTCATTCCACTGATCTTTCCCTGAACACACTTATTAATTCTTTCTGAAAGGTGATATACAACTCAGAACTCATTAGCATCTGAGGATAATTAGCCCCTTTCCTCCTTTTGAGGATGGTCTGCTTATAAAGTATTTTGATTCACCTTAGCTGGAATTATTTGTTAGTTTTGCCTAATATAAAGGGCCGATTTTTGGCAGACCTTTCTGACTTGTGGTACTTTGGATGGCTGCACAAAACCCTTTTTAAAGTGCACTTTTGTAGGAATATGAATGGCATGCATTTAATGGGGAGATCCCCTTAAAATAAACATATTCACTGCACCCCACATCTCCTAGGTAGACAGCTTCAGCTCAAAGAAGGCTGGTGTCCTGATTTCTGGCCCTCAACTAATGCTGCCCTGTTTGGATAGCATCCTCCTGTATAACCTTTGTAGTTTCTATGTCTGTCCCTTAAGCTATCCTCCTGACACAAGTAACCTTCACAGGAATGATCATGGAGACCTCTCTTAACCAGGAAGGCAGGGTGCCCAAGAGGACCAGTTCTCATATCCTCAGCGGTATAAAGTTATTCCTTGGATATATGGGGGCTGAGGCAAGCCTGTGCTGGAGCCATTGAAACAAGAATCTGAAGGAGGTTTTAAGATCTTTTGAGCCTCCTCATAGCAATTAACTAGTGGGAGTTGTCTTTTTTATTTTACTCAGAATCCAGCACAGAGCACGGTGCAGAAATGTGCCTCAAAGCATGAAGATGCTTCTGTGGAGTTTAGTGTGTGACAGGTGACAGTAAAAGTGTGTGGCCATTTGGAAGCTCTTTGAGGCTGCTTTCTCTTTAGAGTCAGGGTATTCCCATGGTGTCTTGGCCTTTTTAGCACCAACAGCCCAGAGAGGGACTCAACTTTGACTAGCATTGTATGAGAAGGTGTGTGGGATGATTGCCCCAGATTGTGGAGTATACACAGATTTGGGTTGACTCCCTTTCTTCATTGTAGGAGCTAGAGGTGCTACAAGTATAAAGCTTTGCTTTGTTGAGAGTACAAATAACCAAAGCTGGGTCACTAAGAGTCTGCTGTTTCCCCAGGTCACAGCAGCAAGGGGTGAACAAACGTTGTCTGCTTCTCTAAATACAGTTCGGGACACTGAGGTTAGTCTGCCCAGCAACTGGACCGACACCTCAGTTTGACTGTGAGTCTGGAGACCAACATGGTCATATGGCATCACTTGTGTACTTAAAGAGGCACATGAGTGCAGGCTCCAGTGGGTGATCCCGTTGTTCCAGTCTGCAAAGCTTTGGGGCTGTACGTGGGAAATAATCTTGTCAGTACTTTGGCATCAAAGAAAGAGAGAAACTCGCTAATTGTAAGTGGTTTGGGTGGAGAAAAGTAGTGATGTGCCAGCTATGCAAATCAGCATATGCTGGGATCTAAAAGAAATCATGCCAGGCCAGGAAGAAGTTAGACAAACCAAGAGGATGAGGAAGCAACCCCAGAAACTGATTGGAAGCACTTGGGTGCTTTAGCTTCTACGAGGAAGGGCTGCTAAAGAGGCGGGGAATGATGAGTAGGTGCCTGATCTAGGTGTATCTTTAGATGTAGCTGGGTGTGCTGCACTCCACCCAGGTCAGGCAGGCCTTGTAGGCAAACTCTTATCTGCATGGATCCTTCTTTTGGTCAAGTGCTTCTAAGCAGGTCTGGATCTAAACGACTGGGTGCCTAGGATTTAGGATTCATTAGCACGTGGAAATCTGTGCACTACCTGCCCACAGCTGGACTGGGGCTGGAATCCATTACCAACTAAAGTCAGAGAATCACAAGGAGGACTTGGCATGCGACCAGGCCATCCAGTCCTCTGAACAAGCTAAGTCAGTACAGGGGCTGGGACCAGCGCCGCCTGGTGGATACTGCTTGTGACCAGAACCGAGCCAGGCTCCTTCAGCAGACACCCGCTGAGAGGGAGCTCGGAATGGAGCGAGATGTTCCTTGACTTCTGCGTGCAGTGGCAGAGACGCTTATGGCCAGGCGTGAAGGAACTCAGTCCTGTGTCGGGAGGTATCAAAGACGACTTTACTCAGGCCGAGCCCTCTAGACGAGGGGCTGTCTTGTGCAATGGCCCCACGACCACATGTCTTGTGTATCTCACCAAAAAGAGGGGAAAGAATTGGGGGTCTAAGGGTTAAAGAAGAGGCAGAGGAGGGCGCTGAAGGAAGCAGATATCATGGGGGAAGGACGTTAAGACTCATTATTAAAAATTCGGTTTTCAGGGCATGATGACTCTTTAGGAACCTAGGAAAATATATTTATCTAAGAGAGAAATCGACCTATGTCTAGAAGGGTCCCGGGTCCACCTGGCGTCAGCGTCTTCAGTCTAGTATTTCTTCTGGGCCCTGCACCTTAGACTCACTTTAAGCCAGGTAGATCGCACGGTGTCCCTAGCTCCGCGGATGGCAGAACTTGCCTGGCTCTGGCGCCTCCACCTTGGCTTCAGTTCGCCCTTAGGATCGCAGCGCAGAACCTGGAGCCCTTGGCCCCTCTGTGCGCACCGTCAGCTAGAACCATAGGCTACCAGCAGCGACAACGGAGTGTGCTGGGGACTGCAGTAGAGAAATCAGCCAGCCGGGTTGGGCGCGCCCCGCGGTGCTGCGCCGTGTACTCGCCTCGGGGGTCCGGGGCTCGGGGCGGGGACTGGGGACCCTACGGGCCCGGGGGCGGCGCAGGCAGGGAGGGCGCAGGCAGGAGGAGGGGCTCCCGTGCGGGGCAGAGGCGGAGCGAGTGGCCGCGCCGTGCAACCAAGTGAGTTCGCTCCGAAGCCCGCGCCGCCGCCGGCCCGCACCTCGGGCGCCCGCCGCCCCCGCCGCCGCCCGCGCGGGGGTGTAGGATGCTGGCGGGCGCCAGGCTCCAGCGGCGGCGGCGGCAGCTGCAGCAGCCCCAGCAGTCCCGGCGGCGGCAGCCTCTCCCGTGGCCGATGAATGCAGACCCTCCGCCACCGCCCTGGGTTTGGATGGTCCCCGGCTCCGCCGGGCTTCTCCGGCTCGGCGCTGGGGTCGCGCCCCCGCCGGTGCTGCTGGCTTCGGCGCAGCCCGCCGCCGCCCCGCTGCTCGCCCGACTGCCGGGGTGGCCAACCCCGGGCGAGCCCCTGCTGCCCCTGCTGCCGCTGCCCTCTGCGCCAGACCACGCCGTCCACCATTATCCCCTGCTCCATGGACAGGTAATGGCCCCAGCCCGGATCCCACTCAAGCTCGGGATTTAGGGTTCCCTGCTTCCCCGGGGCAGCCCTGGCCCTCGGGTTGGCGCTCCTCTCTTCCCGGGTGGTTCTCGGTTCCCCACACCATCAGGACGCAGCCTCGCAGTCATACATTGGCAAGAAAGTTCATGTTTCGACGTTCGGCTTTGGCTTGGCAGTTCTTTGAGATATTTTTTTTCCCTGGCTCTCATGCTGTCTTAGACCCGGCATCTCTGGCTGGAGCCAGACCGCCTGAACCCAACTTTCTCCGGGCGCCGAGCGCTGTCCAGAACGTGGTGCTGAAGTCGCCATCGCCAACCACAGCGCGGTAACCAACTACCGTGGCTGCCATCGCCTAGAAGTTAATACTTTTACAGTCTCCGCCAGACTTGAAAGCAAGCTGCGGATCAATAGCTATTTCTGATTCTGATCTGGTCCCCCTACTCCTTCGCGTAGATTTAGGGCAGTGTTTAAGAGAATTCCAGCCACAGAAGGCAGCCTGGAAATCCTGCCTTGAAAGCGTTTTGTGGGGAGGATTTCCTCTCCTGCCATTTGAATTCCCTTAAGCCGGTTCCCACGTTAGAAGAGTTTGGCATGCAGAACTGGAGCAGAAAGAAAAGTGACTGTACCTTCGAGTGATGGTGCGGTGGTGCAACATCACCTGGCTTTGACCAAATTCTTTGTTCATTATCTGTGAAATTGAGTTTGAATACAGGAATAGCACACATTTCATTCTGAGACTGGCCTTATTAGCATATTCAAATAAGTGTTCTGTCACAATATTCCGTTTAATTAATTTTAGCCCGGTACCACCTTATGAGTTTTTCTAGAAGGCTTCATGAAACCTCCCCTCAGCTGTTCCTTAGACTTAACGATGATGATGCATGCCATACAGGGCATCCTATCTTGATGTGTGATGCACACTGTATTCGACTTTATTAGATAAGCTCTGGTAGCGGTTTGCCATGTTTAGGAGGGCTGTCATTCCAGAGTGTTACCACTAGAGGTACACAATGTCAAAAACTGCCCCCCCCCAAGAAACCCTTGCAGCTCCCCTTTCCCTATAAATTAAAAAAAGAAAAATCTGGAAAGCTTAGCATTTTTCTTTTGCCTATTTTCTGCTAGTCACTATCTAAATAAGGGTAGGCTGAATCAGAAAGCCATTTATATATATATATATATATATATATATATATATATATATATATCAAAACAAGAAGACATTGTGCCTTTGAAGCAGCAGCCTCCCAGTGTTTCCCCACTCCACCCCCACCTTACTGGGGTGAAGCCTAGGAGCATTTAGTGGGTGAGCCTTACTCAGTGTCAGTCCCTTCCTGGTGCTGTCTGCCTGAGATCTTCAGTCACTCAGTCCTCTCATTTCCTTGGCTCTAGAATCTTTGTATCAATGAACCTTGAGAAAGTTACAATCTTAGCTCCTTAAGACAGTTTCAAAATGGTAGGTGAGGTGAATGCAAACTGCCACACAGAAGGGAATGTCAGAGACAGAGCTCTGTGCTCTCCACAAAGAGAGGCTGGGAATTCAAAAGAAATAGCCTCACCCAAAGCCAGCATTTGCCCTTCCCATCAGCCCTGGCCAGAAACTAATTTCTTTTTCTAATTTCTTTTAATTGAATTAGTTTCCTGCATGTATAGAAGGGTTTCTGGTTTCTTTCTGCCCACCCTCTTTTGTTTCCCTCCCATCCCTCCCCCACCACAATTCTTTTCTAAGATTCCTGACTATAGGCTTTGCTCCCTGATTACTTAGTTTAACCAGTCTTCTGTGTAATCATTGGACTATAGAAGTCCCATTTCCCTGTGTCTCTCATTGTCTTATCTTAGAAGGTCCTCCCCAATATTGACAGATATTGAATTGATAATATTATGATGATCCATATATGAAACTTTCACAAGTCTCTCTGTCATTTATAAATGTTCAAGGTCTTTCTTGATTGGAAATGATATAATTTTCTCATCAAATTTCTACACTTAAATTCCTTTATCATAGCAGTTACTCCAGCATATTTTGCTACAAAAAAAGGCTAATGTTTCTTCCCCCCCCCCTTTTTCTCTCTTGAAATTTTGGGTCCCAGTGGCTGTTCAGTGGTCATTCTCCATCCATAGGACTATCCCCATCCTCTGTTGTGGAGCTGATGCCCTTTTTCCCACATGTCTGTCCTGCTCTGCCACCTCCTGTTGGGAAAAGCTGGATAGATAAGAGGATCCCTAATTACAAGGTAAAAGCTCAAGTGTTTTAATTGGATAAGTGGATTTTTAATTGATACGTTGCTGAGCATCACCATGTTAACAGAAAACATAATGCATTTTCCAATTGTAATAGATTGACTATTTGCATACAGAAAAGCCTCGTTTCAGAGCCAGACTGACCTGTTCAAAGACATCAGGAGATAGGGATAATTTTGTCATAACCCAAATGCTTGGGTTCTGTTGAAAAAAAAAAGCAACAATTTCTGAATTGGATTTTTTTCAGCTTTAAAATTTATAACCATTGATCAAAATCCACTCTTAAATATTATATAATTCAAGTTTTACATTTTGAAAAGGAGTCTTTTTCTTGTGGTTTCTAGTTAGGTTTTTTCCTCCTTTCTGATAGTTTATGAACTCAAGTTTCCTGAATATCTGTTACTTAATTGAATATGGAAGATGGAGTAACATGTCAACTTTCTCTACCACACGAAGTGGTGATCTCATGGGCTGATTCTTCAGTTTGTCACCTGGCTGTTACGCTGAACTAAGTGGCTAGGCTGATAGTTGAAGATTAACCCAGTCTCAGCTAGAGGTCTTTCTCTGGTTTCTTATAGCAATCCCTCTTTTTAAGTTTTAGATCCACACTTTTATGGCATGTGCAGTAGTATAACACCCACCATTTGACCAGTGAACAATAGCATGCACCTGTATCTCCCACCAAGTGTTTTGCTTTTAAATGTTTTATTTGCCTTTATTTTGGACAGATCTTTTTAAATAATTCCTTTGCTCTGGACTCAACGTGGATATATCCTGAGGAATCAGGACTCTTCCATAGTCACGAAAAACCTCATTTTCTGGCAAACCAAGTAACTCCGTCTCTGTCTAGGCCAGCTCCTGCCTCCAGGCCTTTCCCCACTGTGGTATTAGCAGCTCAACCAGTACCAGGTCAGTCCCCAAATAACAGTGTGATAATGACTTTTGTGTCTGTTTGTGTTAATCATAAGTCAGCTTGAAATCAAAGTGCCATTTTCATGACACAATTCTCTTAGCAAATTCTCTTATGATGGATTGTACAGTGTGAATCTTTTTAAAAATTAGAGTTGGGTCACTCACCTGTTATCATTCCTCAGCAACAGAGTCAGTTTTGAAGATGAGATAGTAGAGGGATTAGTACAGGAGAATACTGGCAACACTCTGTTTTTATAACCACATTTTCTGCTACTGGTTAGCAAGGACACCAGGTGAACAACAGTCACTCGTTAACAGTGTTGCTTGTCTGGGGTGCTGCATGCAAGGATGCTTGTGAGCCTGCAGGGCACAGGCACATCCATAGTTTTTGTGAATTCTGCATTATCAAAGGGGGTGATAGTGGAGATAGATTATGAACACCCTATTTGGAAGCTGTGCTTTGTTCTATTGTTGGAATCAAGTGACCCAAGAGAACATTTGTCCTGTAAAATAACCCCCCCAAACAATCCCTGGATGAAATATTGCATAATAAACCAGTATTATAATAGGAGAATAAAATCATCTTATGAATTTTTAAATTGATTTTTTAAAATCACCTTAACATATGATCATATTACAAAAGCAAATGTTGCCGGTGCCAAAATTGTCTTGCGGCCCCTTCCATTATGGAATATTTTATGACTGCAGAATTATATTATCTTCCTGTAATTTCCTACCTCCCAAGCTTATCTCAATATGTGTCTCTAAAATTTAGTAATAAGGAGCTGCTCCTGTGGATACCAGTGCTGGGGCAGAGAATGCATTTACTTTATTCTCTGTTTGGCTGCATATTTATTCCAATTTGCAAGGACTCTTGTTTAGCAATAACTCAGGAAAAACAAGGCAATGAGTCCTGTAGGGTTTTATGATTCTCAGCTGAAAGTGCCTTCATTCCTTCTCATTGTGCATTGCTGATTGAGATCTGACCCAACATCAGGTGTACACATGTTTATAATGTTGCATGCCACAATGTTCATGTTTCTATTTGCATTAAGAGTCATGGGACATATTTTGATATCATATATCATACTATATGGGGGTGCAATGACTTTAAATGACTCTTGGTGCATGGGTGAAGTTGCCCAGATTGCATGCAGGTTTAGTTTTGTAAGTTACCTGTTTGATAGATCCTTTGGGTAGAGTTCTTTTGCATTTGTGGCAGAAGGCCACACTGATATCCTAATGAACATCCTAAGGATTTTCACCGGGAAACTGAAAACTTCCCAGGTTATTTACTTACTATGATGGAGCACACGTCTCACACAATATTCAAACAGCATTCCTTAATTTTACTTTCTGATTTGGGAATAAGTAATCCTTAAAGAAGAAATTATATTTATTACAAATAATGTTCTAGCAACCTTTCATTCCAACCTTGCCTACCATTAGTCAAATCTTCTCTTTTTATCTTCCGTGGCTTTTCTTTTTTGTTTTTGACCTTTGCCTTCACCAATGAAGACAACACTCCAAGCTTGTCTCATCTTAGGGAGAAATGTTGACCTGTCTCCCAAGGTGACTAACAATCAGGATATATCTGCTTGAGACAGGAGTTCCTAAATCGCATCACTAAAATCTGGCTTTTTGATAAGTTTCCGAATTCTCAGAAATCATTCAACTCTGAAAAGAATGAATTGGATGCCTGATGAACACATATGCAAAGTGTTGTTTATGTGTTATTAATTGCCTCACAAAGCACTTGGGAAGGGAGCAAGAAGAGGTAAAATGTAGAGTTAATCTACAAATCAGTTAAAATTTAAATTTATCACTTCAATTTTATCGTAAAAGCTAGAAATTATACCTTTATTAAAATAATTATCTGCAAATTATCAGATATGTTGCTGTTAAAACATTTATGTTTTATGGGTGGATAATTTTGCATTTTATATTTAATTTTAATTATAATTTATATTATACAAATATACATGATTATGATTATGTCCACTTTTATAAAGCACATAATATAAAATATATCTTTATAAATACACTACATGATTGACATATATTGATCAACTTTGCTATACATTTTTTCTATTCAGAATTCAGTAGCCTTAGAATCAGATATATTTTATTGATTTCTTTCAAATTAATCAAAGAAGCATAATTAGAATTTCCAGAGATTGGGAAAAGTCTTAAGCTCTCATTTTAAACAGTGCCAATGAGCTAAGACTTTCTTTTCTTGGCTGGATAGTGGTTTTCATGTAATATTATTTTCTAAGTGCTGTTCATTCATGCATTGACATTTGAGGGACAGTGAAAGGTTATATACCATGAACTCAAGTGATGCATGCATAGCTAGCAGTTTGAGTAACTGTGCTATTGGCTGCCTTGGTAGAATGCTGGGTAAGAAATTCCAAGGCTTGGATTAATGTCATATCTCCTCCACTTATGCTGGCTAAGAGTTAACTGCAAGTTCAGGGGCTCAGGTCATGTGAGCTCAAGTTGACTAAGCTGGAAAGCCATCTAAAGTTTGATGCACTACACAAGGATTCCTTGCTTTGGTAAACTGGACTCATACACGATTACTGTTCTACACAGAGCTAGAAGCAGTCTTGAACATCTCAAATATGGGAAGTTATGATCGATGCTGGTCTCTTTTCCTTCACTTACTAGGCAAACCATCTATGAGGAAGGCTGCAGGCACAGCACCATGAGAGCTGGGCTGTGCAGTAGGAAGATGGAAAACAGTAGTTCACAATCATGTGACTTAGTTACAAATGATGGGTCACCCTGGGGGAAGACCTAGAGTGCTATCTCAGGGCAGGAAGAGGAATAGAATGCTAAGCCAAGCAGTAGATACAACATGCAAGAAACTATAGACTGTTAAGTGAGGCTGGACATTGAAGGAGTCAGTGGGAAGCCTAGATGGGACAGTAGGTACTTGATTTAGGCCCTCTTCAGCCAGAGACATCCCTGGGAGCTCATACTTGGTAAATGTCATGAGATTTTACACTGTCTTCCCATTCTGAAGGCTCCACAGATCCTCTAGGAAAGCAGGGATTCATTTGGGGAGCTGAGGAGCATGAGGAGGCCTACTATTTTTCTATCAGCCAGTGGGTCCAGGATGCAAAGACACAGTCACAGCTGTGGAAAGCAAGAGCTATGATAAATAACTAAGTGGCTAATAAAGAGATTGTCCCCAATGATGGTGTTAATGAGTCGAACTGAGAAGTAATCCAAGATGCCTTCATTCACAGCCCTCAGCAGCTGATTCAGGGTAGGGAGCAGGCAGGAAAGAACATGTCAGTGGCCAGCACTGTCTTCCTGTTCAGGGGCTGCAGAATGCACACGATTCATCTCTCCATCAGTCCTCTTCCTCCATGGAGTATGTGAGAACCTGGGATGTGGCAGCATGTCAGGATACTATTCAGAAATAAAATAGCTGAGACTAAGAGCATGGAGTGGTGGAAAGAGATCCTTAATTCACTTGCTTTCTGGGAGAGACACACATAATAAACAGTGCCTCGGGGGAAACTGGTGATTTGTGTAAAATGTGACTATATGGTATTGGACATTAGCCTGAGATCAGAAAGCCTGAGTTTACTAAAGTGTGTTGGGGAACACGAATGTATATTACCCAGACTGGTTATGCCATCCCAACTTCAATTATGAGAGAGTTGTGGAAGAAACTAAAAGCCCTGGTGTGCAGCAAAGAACATTCTGCTCAGATTCCTTTGATCCCAGAGATGCACAAGAAGGGTTTTACACGGGACCTCGTCACCCTTTGGGGTAAAGAAAATGTTAATAAAAATTTAACAGGCATAAATAAATAAATAACCACTGAAAATCAAGAACAGGTGCAATAAAAAAAAAAAAAAAAAATGAGCTGCCTCTCTGGTGAGACCCTGGAAAGAAATGAGAAAGGAGCACAAGGGCGATTCTGTAACACAGTGGTTAAAACCAACAAGGATAAGACCCAACTGAAGACAGTCTGCACACGTTCCGCAGTGTGCCAGCCACTGTGACAGCTCTGTAAAGCAGCCCGTATTCAGAGAAGGCAAAGGGCATGGACAACACCAAAAGGCAAAGCACAGGTTGCGATGCTCTGGCACCCCCACCCCCACCCCCAAACCCCGTAAATAAACCAGAAGTACAGTGTTAAATGTGATGAGGAAGGGCATCTCTGTTCACTGTAGTCTGGTTTATTCATTGCTTTTCTCATGCTGTGACCTAATTGCCTGAGAAGAAGCAGCTTAGGGGGAGGAAGGGTGTGAATCTGGGGGTCACAGTTTTGGGGTGGGGAGGAGTACTTTCTGTCATGGAGATGAACATCTGAGCCTCTTGGGGTCATTTCATGCACAAACCATGGTGAGGACACCATATAAAAGAGCTGAGAAATGGACATGGCATCCCATACTGTTGGATCTGGTCTCCATGCTGGGAGAAGTTAAGGGAGTAGGAGCTAAAGAAATTGTGGTGTCTCACCAGAAGGTTGTGTTGGTACACACGTGAGGAAGGGCCCTTCTAGAGAAGTGTGGAATGGACCACTTCTGTCACTCCTGCTGCCACCACTCTGCTCAATTAGTTTCATTTTTCTTGTCATTCTTTTCTTTTTGTTTTACACTCAGTTTCTTTAAAAGCGCAATATCTGCCTTTCAAAGTGAAGTTTAGTGTATTTTGTGCCTTCTGTTTTTTATATGATTTTTGGCACTTTGTATTTTCTTGTTATTCTGTTTTGCTATTTCTAGTCTGGTAAGTTTCGTTTACTTTTTTAGTATAGGGTGACTTGGAGTATGTTTTCTCCTGCAATTACCAAATGAGATTTTTAAGAAATCTGAATTGAGCTTATGTCTTCTCAATTTCAAATTATGAGACCACACTTACCTTAGAACCCTTCCGTGAAACATGAGACATTTATAATAGTTTGGATTGCATAGTTTTATTATTTTCTTTTTAACTTCTTCTACTAAGAAATAATCTATAACAAGGACTCAGAACAAGAAAGTCAGGCTTCAGAATATTTGGGAACATCAGCATTGGTGGTTAATTGTACCGGATACATAGGAATGTGTCTACTTTGGTCATTGGAGTGAGTTGAAGGCTCTAAGCTATATTCCTCCTTGTAAGTGAAATGCAAAAGCTCTGATTATGTTGCCAGAAACCCTCAAACTCACAACTCATTACAAAGTTCCCTAAGACTGAAGCTGGAACACTATGTAATACAGG